TTTTTAGGAGATCCCAATCGTCTATTTTGTCTTCTGCTATTTGTGTGTTTTCAGTTATGTTTGATAGTATGTTTATGCCATGTATCAGAGCCCCTAACTTTGTCCCTATTTTTCATTGCTGGTCTTTATAATAAGTTCTAGGCTTCACATTTAGATCTTTAATCCACATTGAGTTCATTTTTTGTAAATGGTGTGAGATATGGATCTTGTTTCATTCTTATGCAAATGGATTTCCAATTTTGCCATCACCATTTCTAAAACCCGATTACTCTTTCTTTCATATTTTCAGTTGTAATGATCCAAGAGGAAATGAAAAAGATAATCAGAAAAAGGATTTAGGCCATCATCCAGAGTTTCTAAGTAATCCCTTTTTTGATTGCACCCTTAGTTTCTGGTACAGTGTTTGGTACAGGTTGTTGTTAGGTTTTGGTTCACAGTAACCCTCTGTCTAACAGAAGTAAGCTTTGCTTGGTCCTGTGCCAGCCTCACAGTCATTGCTGTTTGAGCCCATGTTTGCAGCAGCCACTGTGTCATCTAGAACCATTGTTAGATGTTTTATAAATAGAAATGAATATCTTTTTAGAGGCATTTTTGGCATTTCATATGTGCTGCATTCACTTCACTATGTGGGTTACCAATACCTAAAGCATTTTGGGGGAGAAGATACTAGCACCCAGCACTTGGATGAGAGTTTTGGGGAGCATGCTTTTTTAGTCTGTAGTGGTTACCACGCTATATTGATGAGGCTATGTGCTCTTCTTCTCATTTAGTGGAGCGTGTGTAAAGAAACTGGGCTTTAGTTCTGTGTGATTAAGGGACAGTCTTTTACACCCAGATATTGTCACAGTTGTGATGGCACTGAGAATAGTGAAGACAAACTGGATTTTCTGAGGAAATTAGCCTAACTCCAGCAATTCTCTAGCAAACTAAAATTTTGAGATCTGAGTTCCTCACAATATGATAATAATCTAATGCTTGCCGCTTCAGTTTGCATTTTATTGTTACATTGTGTTTTCACCAGTGAAATAGTTTGGGCGCAACCATCTTGGGTTTATATATCATCCGAGGAATTGGTTGATTATTAGAAAAAGGCAGTTTACCCAGTTTGCCAGCAGTAAACTTTCCCCATAGGAAGCTGACTGGCATGAAAAAACTCTTGGCAGAATTTGAGGAAGCATGTGTACAGAGGAAACGAAAAGGATTGGGGCAGAGCCAGAGTCTTCAGGAGAAGAAATAGAGATGAAATTCACTTTCTAGCTCTACTGAGTTTCAGACTTAACTCATGGAACATTGAGCCGATGTTCTCAACACTTGCCATTGGAGAAAACCAAATGAAGTCTCTGCAACTAGTACTGAGCTGAGTGAGATTATCATATCCAGGTTTTAAAAGATCATGTGCCTAAATGATACCTAACATGATATGCAGAATCTCAAATTAGGAGTTCATTGTCGGCATTAGTCAGTTAAAATGCACTTTCTCACCAAGTGCTTGAGTATAAGAATTTCTACTGGGTTGATGTAAATCTAGAAATATCAGTAACAAATGACTGAAAGGATAGGAGAGGAGAATAATAAAAATAAATGAAGTTAACTAATTTACAGAATACTTTGGTAGGAATTGGGCTTGCTCCCTATGTGTCATCCAGCTTTAAACTCTTACTGCCCTCCTCATGTTTTCATTCCGTTCTCTCCAGCTTTTTTTGGCTTTATTTGCTCACTATTGTAGTGACAGCCTTTGCAGAAAAGTGTGTTTTATTTGCATAGAAGCTACGTACCTTAAAATACTTTTTTCTTTAAAAATTCAATCTGATTCTAAATAAAATGATTGGAAACATCACCAAAGATTCAGGTGCAATGTTGCCACGTGTCTGTGAGTTAAATCAAAAATAGAAAAACAGTTATTCATTTGATGATGGAAATAACAAGGAGACTAGAATGTTTTATGTTCCCTGGAAAATGAAAGCAGCTTATTAAGTTTAAAAGGACACTAGGATGATTTTGCTGTTGCTTTTTGTCCAAATTCTAAGAGTTCCGACAGCAAATCTCCTCTGTCAATCTTGCTTGATCTGAGAAACTCCCTTCTGTCTCACTCGTGTGTCGAGTTTCATTTTTAGCAGATTGCTTCCCACCAAGAGAAATGATGAGCCCACAAATCTGATTTGTGTTTAGAAAGGTGCCTCCCTCCCTCGTGGTCTTTCTGTGCTCCCAGCCAGCGCACACACTTCACCAGCACAGTAGGAACAGAACCTTATTACATTTTAAACAAATATTCACAAAAGAAAAGACTCCAATCTTAACACTGCTGGAACTTCAGACCAGCATATTAAATTTGATGCATTAGATTTTATCAGAGGTCTATGCATGTACAGAACAGCTTTGTGAGACATGTAGATGATTTTTGTATTGTATTATTCAGAAGCTATATTTTCTGTTGGTTTTAATTTTCTCGAAAGT